CAGCCTGGTGCCCTCCACATGCTCCAGCTCCGCTCCAGAGCCATGGACATGACTGATACCAAACAAATACAATTAATAAAGTCTATCTAGCCAACATCTGACTCTCATTAGAGGAAACGTGTTGAAAAAACAGATCCCAGGTTGGCTGTGATTTATGGCTTGGGCCTGCTATCCTTCACGAGCACTGGCGAAAGCTGTTGCAAAGGGCCAGAACATAAACTACTTAGGGAAACTTGGTATCCATGTAAGGAGGCTGTAAGGGTCAAATCAGACAAATTAAAGAGGGGTGGATGTGCAAGCTGGGCTGGCTGTCCCCCACTGAGGGCCACCTAGGCAGGCACAGGAGGTCTGTGCTCACATTTCTGCTGTGGAATTTGACTTGAAACTTCTTCTGGTGTCTGAAAATGACGCTGCTCCATTTTTTTTGTTTCCTCTGGCTAAGCTGTGTGCATGTGTGTGGGAACAAGTGGATGGAAGGGGCACTGGTCCAGTGGTTCGTTGTGAGTGTCCAAGTATAACATCTCTGGTGGGGTTTGACACTGAGATTTGGATGACCTGGGGATGGTGATGATGCTGTTGTCACCTGAGGAAACCACATTGCTGTTCCACTGCTGCGTTCTGGACGTCTTTGTCACTTCTCATCCCCTGTCTGCTCACCACGTTGACAGTAGAAGTTAGCAGTGCTTCCTGCTCCCCTCGGGAGTTTTGAGCTTCATTCTTTCCTCCTAGCGCAGGAACACAGTTGCCTGGATTAATTTAACTGACTTCACTGATGCTCTTCCAGATTTGTTCAGAGACTACTGGACGATGAAATTTTCTCCAAACTGGGCCATACTCAACTTGTGTGTTCGGGATTTGTAGCACCATGCACTCCAAACCGCCCCGTTGTATGGCAAGGTTTGACTTTCTAGTAATGGCAAAATACGACCTAGAAAAATCTGGCTGCAAAGGTTTTATTTGTTTAAACAAAGGCGTTGTGATTCCAGAATTCTCTCCCCTTTCATATGCTATAAACCACCTCCTCCGCCTCCTCTCTGAAATATGAATTTTGGAGCAATCTATCATGAAAAAGAGAGACAGAGCCTTGATCCCTTGACTTCAGTTGAGCAGTGCAATTTATATCTACTGAGCATCTGGCTGCAGGAAAACCAAAAGCCTTTTTAATATTCTGCAGAGACTCTGCGTATACAAATGAGGGCTGTCAGAGCTAAGAAATGGGGCAGAGATGCCAAGAGGTTTCTATGCCATTCCGCAGCACTCTCTGACCTGCGGCCCCATGCTGGAAGTTGGCCTGATAATTTTACTCCCTTCAGTGCCGCTGTGATAATGATGCTGAAATCATCCCCGTTGGTATACAGCTGTTATCACACCTTTTTTGTTAATTCAGGCAAGAAGCTGGAAGACTTGTAGGGCCTTCAGCCTTGAGCAGACAAAATGTGCAACTGTTTAATCATGAAATTACACTCACGTTGCTCGAGCAAAGTAGGAATGCCGAGTGTAGCAGGACACGTTCAGGAGGATGTTCAGTGCTGTCCATCACTTGTCATAGGAGCAGATCTAGAGCCTGGTGCCCGTTTGGGCAGCACTGGAGGTTCCATTGAAGACTGACCAAATGCAGCAGCCTTTGGATCGGAGCTCAGTGGGTCACCACCAATATGGGGTGTGCGACCTGCTGTCTTCCAGCGCACTGAGTCTATCTCCTCTATGATATTTAGCATCTTCCCTGTCCCTCTCATTGTGCTGCTTTACCCACGTAACCAGTGTGGGGCCAGAGGGCAGGAAAGCAGAGGTGACAGCAAGATGCTATGGAGACAGACTGGGAGACACATGATACACTGGTACGGTCCCGTGGTTGTTATCTCAATTATTTATCCCCCCTGCTGGAATATTTCTGAAACAAATCCTACCATGTGTTTTAAAGTTGGACTTCACAGAGTGAAATCACAACTCTTTCCTCGGAGTTGAGCTGGAGAAATACAAATCTGCCAACGAGGAATAGGGGGGAAATAAATGGTGGTTCTGTGTAGCAACAAGTGATGTATCTCTGTAGAGACAGAAGGAGTCTGCTCTGGAGTTTCAGGTCACAGAGCATGTGTATTTGACCCAGTGCTATATGCATTGTGGAATAATGATGTGAGATTTCAGGCTGGCTTTAATGAAGCAGATTGCTTTATCCCTGGTCAGAAAATCTGACTTTACAGTGCCAGGCCTTGTAACCACCAGCTACCAGGATTAAGATAAGAGTAAATACGTAAGTGCAGAATAGTTAGGGAAGGTATTTATTGTCTTGATTTCTCACCATCATCCTCAGGCTTTCTACAAAGACAAATTATGAGCCCATATCTGGAAATGGCCTGGTCCCTCGTGTGCCATGAGCAAGCTGTGAATGCGGTTTGTGTATCAGAGGTATGAAGTGTTGGTCTCACTGTCTGCATTTGTGAGCATCATCCATCTGCTGGTTAGCTAGATAAATGTCAGGGGTTTGCTGGCAGGACAATTTTAGACATATTGTTTTGCATTCCTCTTTCTGGATTAGGTAAACGTCTTTTGAGTCTAGATTAAGTACTTTGGGTGTGGATGGGGGTTTCTGGGCACTTTGAGAAGGACAAGATGAAAGTTCAAATCTAGCTTGGATGCTATGTAGTTCTCCTGAGGGAGCTGGGCTACATTTTCCCAGCATTTTCCAGTCATCACTGATAATAAAGAGGACTTTCAGAGATGCTTCAAGAGCAGAAGGGCTGCTGGGCTGGTGCTGGCTGGAGTGCCCACCCCTTGAGCTGCTTTGCCGTGCACACAGGAGTGGTACAAGCCCTTTTTTGAAATGAGCTCTCCAAATTGAGCTTAAATTATCAACATGTCTCAAAATCTACACCAGAGGTGGTTTTCAGGCAGTTCAAACCAGTCTCTCTGAAACCTATGGGAGTCATTAGTATGTGCAAGCCAGCAGAAGGGAGAATAGGACTCCATATTTTATTAGCTCTGTAGCACATCTGGTACGCCTTCTGGCTCTTGGGAGCACTGGATTTATTTTTCCTTATCTTTCTATGGGGATGAACAAGATCAAAAGCATGAAGCTGGTTGCACACAGAGCATAACTCGCTGTTTCTCACACTTCAGGCAGATCCAGACCAAGAAAGCCTCACTCATTTCCTTCCTGGTGGGACAACACACCTGTGGCACTTGTGTATCCATGTGCCAGCTCAGACCAAAAACTGCTTTTGTCCAGGATTAGTTGTGGAGAATAACAATAAGGAAATGTTATATGTTGTTAGAAGAAAGTCCATGTCAGCACTGACCTGTGAGGAAATCTCTCCATCAAAGCGTGCATGAACCACCAGATGCTTTGTTTGGAAAATGTCCGGCACCATCGGCTGGAAGCTGTGTGTCTGACCCCTTTGGGGAACTGCTCAGCTCCCCAGGGAGGGTTTCTGTGATCCTATGGGGTCAAGGAGAGAATTTCTTTGGAAGGTTTACGCAGTGGGGGGTTGGTTGCTGTTAGTACTCAAGCAATCTTCTTGGGCTGTAAATCACTGCTGAGGAACAGCCAAACTTCCTGGCCCTCCAAGCCACGTACTAAAATCTTTGTATGGCTGAGAGCCATCAGTGCATACCATGTGCTCCATAAAACTGAGAAGAGTTTGTGGGTGAAGATCTGAGAGGTTCCACAGGGGTCCTCTTGCAGAAGGGGAGCATGGCTTGTTAGGGTCGACAACTGAATGCCACCTGTCCTGGTGGTGGTTGGGTAGGGCAAAGCCCATGTTTTCCTGAACATTCATCCCATTCTTCTCTGTAGGTAGGCAGTGGGGTTACTCAACATCCTCTGCATCAGCACAACTTCCTTGGAGCCACACCTGCACAGTTTGTTCAATGCCTCAGAAATTATGGGTCAGCCTTCCCCATGGAAATACTGGCAGCCCATGGAAATATTGGCAGTAAGTGCTGCTTCAGTGGGCATTAAGGAACCCAGAAATGCACTCAGAGATGTGCATCCCCTCTCTGGGACATGAGCTGGTGGTGATTGATCACCTGAGCATGGGTAGTTTACTTTCTGTAATGCTTTATGTTGCAACTCTTTTTCCCTTTTTAAAACCAGTTGAGCTTCAGAAGTTGTGATAGGTGAGCACACCGTATGGAAGGCTTCTCTGCTCACTGGGAGCAGGCATCCAGCACTGCTGTGAAGTACTGGGAAAGTGCTTAGTGATTAAATCTCTGGTCAGGTCTTCATCCTCCTTCACTCACTTTAAAACTGCTGAAATGAAAACAGAGGCAAAGCAGCAGGCCTCCTGTTTAGATAAGTGATGTCCTTTGTACCAAGCAATCATTTTAAACAGCACTCAGAGCCCATTAAGCAAACGTTTGTTCTTGGTAAGGCATCCTGTCAAGACCCCTTTGGTGGCTGCTGCCTATCAGTTGCTTCTATGCAGTGAAGTGAGATGGAAACCACTTCATGCCTCAGCCCTGGGGTCAGTTTTGTTTTTTCTTGCTGTTGCTGAGACTGATGAGTTGTTGTGGGGGTGGCTACAGAGCCTGGGGACGCAGCAGGACCCCACAGAGATGGGGGTTCTCTATGTGCATTTCTTCCTTCAGTGTTTCAGCAGGATTGGAGCAGTGGCCGTGCAGCCTGGTGTTCTGAGGTGGGAGCACAGCCCTTCCACTGCCACCAGCGACAGAACGCATCTCTGCTGGTGTTAACAGGTTGTAGTGGTTGGCAGCATAAAAAATCCTAAAACCCATTTTTCTCCCCGTACTTTCTGCCCATTGGGAACCTGGTTTCACACTGCAGCACTGAACAGCCCCAGACAACATTTCAGGTAATGTGGCTGTGGCTGCTTACCTGCACAATGGCATCAGATACTTATTTTCTTCCCTGCGTAACTGATCTCAAAGCACTTTGCTGTGTGCTTTAGATTGAAAAGGGACCTGGACCTGCAGGGTGAAAGCTATGGATGAAAATGCAAAGTACATGAAGATTTCACATGATGTTGTTTTGCTCTTTCCAGAATGCATGAACTGCACGAGGTTAGCAGATATGACTGAGAGGCTGAACACGCTTGAGGCCAAGGTAAGGATGTGCCTTTATTCTTCTGTTTGGCAAAAGATTTCTAGGAGTTGCTGGAGAAGAAGTTGGGGAGTTGGTAGCTCTCGGAGAGATGAGGAGGCTGTCCTATCTGTGCAGCCAGCAGGGACAGCAGGTTCAGCTGGTGTGCACCAAGAGGGGACGTAAAGCAGGGATTCCCCTGGCTCAGGAAAGAAGTAGGCTTCTATTCTGTCTCTCTCACTCAAATGCCTTGTGGAACATTACCAAGCAGAGCACAAACCAGAGCAGTACAGGTTTGCAGATTTCTGTGAGAACAGTTGTTCAGCCTGCTCTTCAGTTGCCGTCCATTCCTGTGGTTTCAGCCCCTTTCTCAAATATGGGAGGCTTTTACGCGCAATTTAATGGGAAAAAAAATGTTAAGGGGAGCCCTTCACATTGTGCTTTTTTCCCCTGAATTGTTTTAATTTCTACCTACTGGGATTCGGATGAGTTGTTCCAATCTAGTTACAGAGACGCTGAGTCAGTCGGTCCACTTTGATTTGGGGTCCCTCGGTGCCAGCCCCATCCTAACTGTTGGATATGGTGCTTTGGTTCCTTTAAGGCATGTGCTGCTGTTATTATTCATTAACAGATGGTTATCGGTGACATAAAAGAATTTGGGGAGAAACCTTTGGTGGGAGAGGTTGGATGTGTGGTGATTTTGAGGCCGGTGCATGATAGTCTGGTAATTTGGGAATTGTCTGAGCTGAAATGAAGTGAGCAATGTTGTCTGGAACTTCCTCAAAGCCTTCGCAGTTATATTTCACTTCGGGGAAAATGAAAGGGGAGGGGGAATGAAATTGTGGGGAATTGTGAGTTGTTCGAGTGGAAACAACTGTTGTAGTGCAAAGGACAGAGCTGAGCTGGGCTGTGTTTCAGCGCAGCGGGACCTGGCAGGTGGGTGTTCTTTGGCAGCAGCGAGCTGGAGGCGTTGGAAGAGGAGAGAGGCTGGTGACCGACCTCTGTGCATGCAGTCCTGAGTCCAAGTAAGACACGGACTAGCCTCAGAGAGATGTAAATCAGCCCTCCCAAGCTCAGCCTGCAGCCAGCTCTACCTTCCTTCCCCTTCCAGGGCTTTCTTTATTTGACTAACTGGAAATTCATAACTAAGACCCTGTTTTGAAGTCCTGACAGCAGAGGACCTGGACTCTGCTTGCTTGCATCAGACAGCAAAGTGTAAGAGGCTAAACCCAACTTTCACTGCAGGACCTGGTGGAGTGGGAGGCAGCTCCTGTCCTCCCAGACCCCCTCAAGAATTCCTAGCCCACATGTGAAAGTACATCCAGGTCAGCAGATTTCTTATACAGGTATGAAGGTGGCTGAAATCAGGTGTATAAAGTTGTTGTCACCTCAAAGCGCTTCTGCTGTTGGCACCACTTGCCCAGTGCCCACGGTATTTGGAAAGTGCTGCCTGCTTGCCTTCTGCATAGGGGCTCTGCTGAAGGCAGGAACATGTCTCCTGCTCTAACCTGGGGCACATGTGCAGCAAATGGCATTTTCCCCTGCTTGGCAGACCTGATGTGTTCTCTCAGAAAGGCTTTGTGTGTTGGCAGCCGTCATGCTGCATACTGCTCTGCATTTGGGAGGGAGCACTGAGCTGTCAGCCAGTAAACACAGTGCTGACAGCTGAAGACTTTGCCATCCTGCAAACCCCGTGACATGAGGACAGTGAGTAAGATGTATGTGAGCTCCAGTGCCAAGATGGAACCAGCTGGACCTTTGAAGGGTTTTGGTGCCATTATCAAGCAAAGCCCACCTTCTGACCGCCTTCCTGAGCCTGGGACTTTGTATAACTCGCACTTACAGATCATGGGGTGACAGCCTCTTGACAGAAGAATTACTTGTATGCCAGGACCAACTGTGGCCCTCCAAGACTCCAGGTAACTGGAAACCGTGCTGAACCACAGACTGGATCAGCTGGCGGAGCCACTGAACTCAACAGACATGGGGCACTTTGGTGGTGATGATCTTTGGCAGCTCCATCAGCTGATCCTGGTCTCTGTGTTTTAGTGCCACATCACTGTGCAGTCCCAGGCACCTTGTATCGCTGAGTGGACACTGCCACTGGAGGTTTGTCTGGCCTGCAGGAGGACTGCTGTCATCTGTTTTAGCCATGAGAGCATTCTGAATGTGAGCATTTGTGTGACACCTCATTTTCACTGTAGTTTGAAAAGTTACAGCTTGGAACACTTGTGTTTCCAACTTGACCTTTCTCTAGCTAGTTATATTCATTTACTTCTTAGCCAATTACAAAAACAAGGAAAATCCCTGAGCTCTAGGGAGATAATGAGGCAATTTATGTTGTTGTTGAGATGAGTTTCCTTTTGTCTTGACTGTGCTCCCCCAGAGACCTAAGTTGTGAGCAAAGCTCATCAAAGGGTTTACTTTTATGGAGGGAAATGAGTTATCTGTTTATACTGCGATGTGCTAAAGATAATGTATCTGGTAGAAGAGAATCTTCTGCAGCATAGCCTAACAGTGATGATATTCATCTGCTGGCTTCCACTTTGTTTGATACGTTGTGGGTGCAGTGCAAAAATTGATGGTATATAGCGATCAAATGGAGAGTGAAGCAACATTACATGAACACAGATGCTATACACAGGAGGAATATGCTGATTCACCCTTTTTTCCAGGTTAATTCAAGTTCATTTTGATCTACACAAGCAGTGCAGTGACCTCAGTTGTTGTAATTCAGCAATTGCTAGCGTGGTTGAAAAAAGTGCTTCCATTCATTTAAAACAGTTTGCATTGCTGCTCTGGATGTTGGAGAAGTATCTCTATTTTTCATCAAGTGATGCTCAATAAAGCAGTCGTGTCTTAATATGCCTTTGGTGAAAGTGTCCACAGGATAGCTGCTCCCTGGAAGCTCTCATTCCTGAAAAGATGAGGAAACATCTTCTTGGATATGAGAAAGTACAGAACTCCTTAGCCTTGCATGGGTTGTGGTTGGAGTACCCTGTGTGGGAAACCTCGAGATAATCTCTGGGTTATTTATGACAATCCCAAATCAAAAGGGAGGCTGCATTCCAGTGTCATGAGGGGGCACTTGCACTTGAAGTGTAAATCAGAAAAGGTCACCCATCAGTGGCTTTGCTGCTTTTGTCCTTTTGAATTTCAACCCATGCTGAGCTCAGGAAATGGTCACAGGGAGGAACAGCCCGCCTCAGTGGAGCTTCAAACAGGTCTGGCCATGGTGCAAGGGTATGCAAAATGCACGTTTGTCCTCCAGTGGCTGTGAAGAGTAAGAGTATGCTAAACAAGCTGAACAACCATGGAAGAACAGGCTGCAAGTCCGTTGTTTCTTCTTTCATCCCTCCTCTTCTGGAGGCCCCTACAGCTGTCCCTCTGAAGTGGGGATGTAACTAGAAGTGCTCTCATCTCTTTTTATTGCGAGGATGAGTTGGTTCATACAACTTGTAAGATCAGCGTCCAAATGAGGTAATAAAAGTAACGCTCTGATTTTTGTAATATGAGAGTTGGATTAGAAAGTGAGAGGTGAGAAAACAGAGTGGAAAATGACTCATTAGGGAGTGCTTACGTTGCCTTTGGGGAGAAGAGATTGAGATGTGGCTGAACTGTGGGGCAGAACAAATGCACCTCGTGCACTCCTTAGTGCTGCTCTAGGATGTCCTTGTGCTTGTGAGATGTTTCTATGTAACAGGAAGTGAAAGGAGATGGAGTCTGGATCCATCCGTATCTCCATGTTCAGAATTACATGGAGTTGGGCCTTTCCGTTTGCTTGATACCGCAGCCATTGGGTGCCACAGGTTTGAAAGCTTGGCTGATAGTGTTGAGTTTGAAACCTGCAGGCTGTGGGAACGTACATCAGGGAAGATGGTGGAGAGGCTGGAGTTGAGAACGAGAAAATGTGCAGGGAGGGACACAAACTACCCCTCCTGCAATCTGCCAAACCTCATTTCTCTCCTATTATGTCTTGCCCACCATGACTACAAGCATCTCACACCCCACTTTTATCTCAAATAAAAAGCTTCTCCTGATGCCCCCACACTTTTCTAGAGCACAGCCCTTCTTTTCTGGCATTCCTGAGACCAAGACTAAGCCCAGATAAACTGTGCTGAAGCTCAAAATTGCTCAAAATTCCTGCAACGTCAGGGGAGACCAGAGGTGTTGCCCACCTCCTGCAGTGCTAGCAGGAGGGCAGGCAGCTGCCTAAAGCTTTCTGCTCAGTTGGTTCTCTACAACCCCAGTTCTTTTTAATGAACTGCACCGCAGAGTTATGGGCAGTGGGATATTAATCCCAGCATTTGGTTGGAGCTCGAGTGCAGCATTTGATCTGAGTTGATATAAGCCAGTCTTATCTCCTGACACCACTTTTGAGAAGTTCATGGCATTTCACTTACAGCTTTAATGCAGGGAGATAACATTACATATCTAGTGTCTGATTGATTCATTGTGTGATTGATAAATGACATGCATATTTTTTGCATGAAAGCAGTCCTTGTAATGTGATTCCCTGCGCAGAAGTTTCTGAAGGGTTTTAAAGAAAATCTTTGTGCTGTACAGAGGTTTGATCAATACATTGCTATTTATATGAAATCACCCTATTTATGTAGAACAGATTACCACACAGCACCTTCACTACCCGTGTCTTTAGATTACGAAGCACCATTCCTTGGAGCTTTACTACAATGAAATGATTTTCTATCTGCCTGTTCTTCCAAGCAGCTGTCTGTGGTGTTTTATGGGGCTGCCTTTTCCTTCTCTGATAGACACTGCAACAATCTCCTGCTGAAGTGTGGAAGTGTTTGGAATACAGAAAATGTTTTGAGGTACTGTAGCATGGCCAAGGGACTCAAGGGGTGAAAACCCAGTGGTGTGGCTGTGAGGCTGAGTGGACAGTAATGGTTGCCTGATATTTGAAAGACCTTTGTGGATATTCCATGTTGTGAATTCGATCGCCACTAGCAGTTATTTGTTTTTCTTCTGTTCTGAACAGGAAGGTAGCCTAGATCATCTCTGAG